GCCAGTGCAGTATCGGAGCAACAGCCAGTACGTTCACGTGCGAGGCGTGCCCGCCCGGGTACAGGTGCGTGAACGGGACGAGGTGTCGGAAATCTGCCCGGCGGGGAGCTTCAGCCGGGCTGACGGCACGGCGTGCGACCCCTGCCCGGCCGGAGAGTTCACCAGCGCGGACGGAGCGAGGGAATGCCAGGCGTGCCCCGCGGGACAGTTCAACACGGAGGGCGGCTCTACCAGCTGCCAGGCCTGCCCAGAAAACACCTACAGCCACCCGGAGGGCCAAACCAGCTGCGAACCGTGCGCCGCGGGCTCTGTCAGTGCAGCAGGGTCAGGAACATGCTCAAGTACGTTACATGCGCTAGTACGTTACATGCGCTAGTACGTTACATGCGCTACTACGTTACATGCGCTAGTACGTTACATGTGCTAGTACATGCGAATCATGTGGCATGTTTGTTGCCCTAACACACAGGCATTAAGAGGATGGATGCCATCACAGCACAGGGCGTGGTCACGTGTGTGGCGGAGTGCCCTCTGACTCACTATGACGACAACAACGTCTGCAGAAGTACGTGTCACAATTTTTCTTCGTAAAGTTTCGACAATAACATACACAACAGGGGTACTTAAAAAGGATACAGGAATACTTAAAATGGTAACACTTGTGGAAGCTGTAGGGCAGTTGGTAACTCCAGTTTGTGCCGGCAGTAAGACCAGTGGTAACCCCAGTTTGTGCCTGCAGTAAGGCCAGTGGTAACTCCAGTTTGTGCCTGCAGTAAGACCAGTGGTAACTCCAGTTTGTGCCTGCAGTAAGACCAGTGGTAACCCCAGTTTGTGCCTGCAGTAAGGCGAGTGGTAACTCCAGTTTGTGCCTGCAGTAAGGCCAGTGGTAACCCCAGTTTGTGCCTGCAGTAAGGCCAGTGGTAACTCCAGTTTGTGCCTGCAGTAAGGCCAGTGGTAACTCCAGTTTGTGCCTGCAGGGTGCAGCAGTTTCTGTGACGATGTAAGTGACAGCGGGGACCGAGTGTGTACCGGGCCGGAGGTGGACCAGTGCCACACGTGTCTGTACCGGGACGTGGACGGGGCCTGCACGTCCGGCTGTAACCCGGGGCAACAGGCGGTGGCGGGAGAGACAGTAGAGCTGGAAGGTAGGCTGAGGTTACAGTACCGTACTCTCCAAGCAGAGGTTTGGGTTTTGGGTTATTACCTCTATGAAAAATGGAGGTATTGTTTTTGGTGTGTGTGTGTGTGTGTGTGTGTGTGTGTGTGTGCGTGCGTGTGTGCGTGTGTGTGTGTGTGTGTGTGTGTGTGTCCGTGTGTGTGTGCGTGTTTCACAGTGCAAAAAAGAAACCCCGATAATTTTTCTGTTGTACAGCCATCCGGTTGGTTGGGGGAAGCTTTGCGAGCGAAGGCAGAGTGGAGGTCCGGCGCAACGGGCAGTGGGGGACAATCTGCGACGACGCCTGGGACATTAACGACGCGCACGTCGTGTGCCGGATGCTCGGCTATACCGACGCTCAGGAGTACAGAACTCAGGCCTCCTTCGGGCCGGGCTCGGGGAACATCTGGATGGACAACGTGATGTGCTCTGGGAACGAGGAGAGCCTGGCCGACTGCCCCCATAATGGGTGGGGCACACACAACTGTGGGCACCATGAGGACGCTGGTGTGGTCTGCTCAGGTAAGCCGACTATTCAAACCTCTACAATCTAGTAGCGCTAGTAGGTCAGTGTCGGAGAGTGGTAGGCCGGAGAAGTTTACCACCGTTTCCCTTGCCGCTTCGAGGCGCACGAGTTGGCGTTCCTCCCGTTGTCTGTCTTTCCTTCTCTTCCTTTTCTCTTTGACACGAAAATGAAGCCATAGCACGTGACGTATTTACTTAAAAACGTGACGTTTTTTACGTCCGTAATTTTGACACGAAAATTGCAGAATCACATGTACGTTACGTGCCCACACGTTATGCCATGCGTGACGTATTGACCCAAAACGTGACGTTTTTGACGTCCATATTTTTGACACGGAAATGATGCCATAGGCAGTTCTGCGAAAAAAACAAGACTTCATGGAGATCCGTAGAGATGCGAGCACAGTCTGTGAAACACGTCACCATGTAAAAATACTTTTCGTCTTTTATTTTTTGGTGTTTCTTATTGGTAGCGCATTATAATTGGTATCAGATGTTTTATACCTAATAGGTTTTTTTTATCATAACCCAGCTAAGCAATGTTCTGCGGTTCCACACACTTTGAGGGATACACATACATACGTCACCTTAAAAAAAGCTACGGAAACGCACAACGTGGAAACGATCTTCAGCTCGACATTGTCTAGCGGCTTGTCGCACTATAAAAAACATACACGTAGTTATACTGGAGACAATCCCCCCCCCCACGCGCGAGCCGGGAATGCGACAAAACAATGTTTTGACACGGGATAGTTTCTTCCGACGTCTCCGATAGAAATTACTCACACTGCTTCGTTCCGGTCTCCGATGTTTTGGAAGTAACACGATACAGATTCATGTACCTCCTGCCTACCTGCCTGCCTACGTGCACCCCTCCGTCAGGTTCCTCCAGCCAGCTCTGTCAAGGGCAATAGTCTCTGCTACACTTATAATCTCTGTAATCTCTGTGTCACTCTGGATCTGGTCTTTCCACCTCTTGGGTGGTCTTCCCCGGGGTCTAGGGTTTTGGAAATCCTGGTGGTATTCCTTATAAACTAAGGTATTTGCTGGTCTTCGCATCCCAAACCATCATGTACCTCCTGTTGTTGTTTTTCAACAGGTTGTTCAGTAGAAGGCTACGTTCCTCATAACGGAGCTTGCTACAAGAGCGTTACGGAGGCGGTGACGTACGCTGACGCCAGGCAGACGTGTGCGGCAGACGGGGGGACTTTAGCCATGCCGAAGGACAGCGCCACCAACACTTTTCTCTCTAGTCTAGCACCACTAGTGGGTGGTCGTTGGCTTGGGCTGACCAAGGATAGCGGCGGCGCCTGGGTCTGGGCTGACGGTCAAACCCTGACATCGTCCGGCTATGACAACTGGCTGTCCACTGAACCAAGTCCCGATAACGGTCAAGGTGGCTGTATGGGATATTGGGGGACCGGAGCCGGATGGGATGAGAAAGACTGCAGCTATCTCAGGGCATTCATCTGCCAACTGAATGAAGGTAGCTCTCGTCATAGAGGTCTAGCAAAAAATCATCCGTCATTCCAACCAACGAATTGACTTGTTTTTTCGCATAGCTCTGCAGAGGTATCGCGGAGGGCTGTGCTAGCAACCTCCATGGAGGAGCTCTGCAGAGCTGAGGGCTGTGCGAGCAACCTCCATGGAGGAGCTCTGCAGAACTGAGGGCTGTACGAGCAACCTCCATGGAGGAGCTCTGCAGAGCTGAGGGCTGTACGAGCAACCTCCATGGAGGAGCTCTGCAGAGCTGAGGGCTGTACGAGCAACCTCCATGGAGGAGCTCTGCAGAGCTGAGGGCTGTGCGAGTAACCTCCATGGAGGAGCTCTGCAGAGCTGAGGGCTGTGCGAGTAACCTCCATGGAGGAGCTCTGCAGAGCTGAGGGCTGTGCGAGTAACCTCCATGGAGGAGCTCTGCAGAGCTGTGGGTCTACAAACAACCTCCATGGAGGAGCTCTGCAGAGCTGAGGGCTGTATGAGCAGCCTCCTTTTTTATCAGTTGGAGTTGAAGAAGGTTATTAAATGTTGTAATGTACGTGGGACTTACATTAAAACATATACAATGTAAAAATCTGCCATTTGTAAACAAAAGGCAACAGAGAGGCCATCAAAGCATTCTTTACCCCACCTTCCTCCCCGTCCCATCTAAGATGACCCGGATGTTTGAGTAGTGCACGCGTCTGTTTCGTGCTCTACAAATGTCTTAATTTTTCCCTTCCTACGGGTCACATTGAGCCCAAATTTTGAGCCTCTATAGTCAAGTAGTTTTAGTAGTCTTTTTTAAGAGTTTTTAGATCCAATTTATAAGTTTGTCGGTTAGATTTCGTTCGCTTTTACTTCATCGATTGCTGGGACCACAAGGCCCCAAGATGGAGTCCGCGTCACCTCCCGAAGATAACATGGCGACCGAAGGCGGGCCATTACTTGGCTAGGTGGATTGAAGTTGTGGTTAATATTGGACGGAGTACTGGGGTTGAGTTATCAAGGTAGAACTAGGTTAGTGTTTGAGCAATTCTCGATTGGAACGGGAATGTTTTGGGTAACTCTGGACTGGAACTGGTTTTCATAAATTGCTGAATTTGGGGTGAGAAAAACTCAGCATTTATTTTTTGGAACAGCCCATTGTGCTAGCATATGATTTATGAATGCTGCAGGAAGGTCTGACACATTCGGAAACACACCGTGAGAATGCAGGCATTTACTCTGACTGACCTTACAACTCCTTTGTTTATGTCAGATGCAGGAGCCAGTGCAGTATTCGGAGCAACAGCCAGTACGTTCACGTGCGAGGCGTGCCCGCCCGGGTACAGGTGCGTGAACGGGGACGAGGTGTCGGAAATCTGCCCGGCGGGGAGCTTCAGCCGGGCTGACGGCACGGCGTGCGACCCCTGCCCGGCCGGAGAGTTCACCAGCGCGGACGGAGCGAGGGAATGCCAGGCGTGCCCCGCGGGACAGTTCAACACGGAGGGCGGCTCTACCAGCTGCCAGGCCTGCCCAGAAAACACCTACAGCCACCCGGAGGGCCAAACCAGCTGCGAACCGTGCGCCGCGGGCTCTGTCAGTGCAGCAGGGTCAGGAACATGCTCAAGTACGTTACATGCGCTAGTACGTTACATGCGCTAGTACGTTACATGCGCTAGTACGTTACATGCGCTAGTACGTTACATGCGCTAGTACGTTACATGCGCTAGTACGTTACATGCGCTAGTACGTTACATGCGCTAGTACGTTACATGTGCTAGTACGTTACATATGCTAGTACGTTACATGCGCTAGTACGTTACATGCGCTAGTACGTTACATGCGCTAGTACGTTACATGCGCTAGGACGTTACATGCGCTAGTACGTTACATGCGCTAGTACGTTACATGCGCTAGTACGTTACATGCGCTAGTACGTTACATGCGCTAGTACGTTACATGCGCTTAGACGCGTTACATGCGCTAGTACGTTACATGCGCTAGTACGTTACATGCACTAGTAAGTTTTATGCGCTAGTATAAAACGTCAATCAGCCTTCCAGGCTTCCAGAACCTGGATTGATTGATTGATTGATTGCCAAAAAGCAGTTACTCAAGCAACTGGATATGATTTTGGAACGTCACGATTGATTGATTGATTGATTGATTGATTGATTGATTGATTTATCTGCAGATATCAATGAGTGCTCCTCCAACCCCTGCCGGAACGGCGGGATCTGCAACGATGAGACCAACCGCTACTCCTGTACCTGCCGCGCCGGCTACACCGGGTACAACTGCCAGACAAGTGCGTAACATTTCCAAGTATTTAGGACTATGGAATATCAAAGTAAGCTACACCGGGTACAACTGCCAAACAAGTGCGTAACATTTCCAAGTATTTAGGACTATGGAATATCAAAGTAAGCTACACCGGGTACAACTGTCAGACAAGTGCGTAACATTTCCAAGTATTTAGGACTATGGAATATCAAAGTAAGCTACACCGGGTACAACTGCCAGACAAGTGCGTAAGATTTCCAAGTATTTAGGACTATGAAATATCAAAGTAAGCTACACCAGGTACAACTGCCAGACAAGTGCGTAAGATTTCAAATCCAATCAAATCCTTAATCATTATATCAATCCTGCAGATAGACATAATATAATGTTGCCTGGATATCAAAATAAGCTACACCGGGTACAACTGCCAGACAAGTGCGTAACATTTAATTTTTTTTATACCAACATTTATTTCATGGCGACGACTCTTGCAAGTTTTTAGTTGTAAGTTATTTCAAGCCGCCATTAACGCAGATAATCGAATGTATGAAACAACTGACATTCTTATTTGCATAATAGTTAAATGAGAAAGTTCGTGTAAAGTGCCTTTCCCAAAGGAAACAAGATCGGTTTCCAGCCAAACGCCTTGTTAGGGTAGTTAGACAAGACCCTGACATTGAGAATTTGAAGTATTAATGAATTATAGAATACACTGTATTTGAATTCATAGTCCTAAATATTTCGTATTGCAAGAGGCATTTAATTTGATATGTTGTACAACTGCCAGACATTTTCAACCCTGAAACCAGTCCTTCAATCCACATTATTACATTAACCTTGCAGACAATGTAGCCTGAATGACATTTAATTGATATTTGTAATATCAACATAAACCAATGTATACATATTTCTAATATGAACTGTACATCCCAGACATAACAAGTAACATTATAATTAAGAAGTAGCTGAAGAACTGGTGACACTTAGTTGGACAAGACCCTGACTTAAAAGTATTCATAAGATATGGAATACACTATAATGTAAAGTCCGAAATACTTACTTGGTATACAATAGACTTTAATATGTTACATATGATGGCGTTTACAGATATCAATGAGTGTGCATCCAACCCATGCCGAAACGGAGGCAACTGTGTGGATGGAGTAAACCGCTTCACTTGTGAATGCCAAGGCAACTACATGGGTACTCTCTGTGATAAAGGTCAGTACATGTACTACATGGTCAGGTCAGTCGACTTTACGTTTGAAGTTCAGTAGGTCCCTGGAAGTTCTGAAGGTTCCTGGAAGTTCTGAAGGTTCCTGGAAGTTCTGAAGGTTCCTGGAAGTTCTGAAGGTTTTTGGTCCCTGTGTACAATGTCCTGCGGGAGACAGTTCCTCAGCAGGAATGCATGTTGTTTTGTGTGTTGTACAGCTATCCGTTTGGTTGGGGGCAGCCTGTCGAACGAAGGCAGAGTGGAGGTGCTGCACAACGGGCAGTGGGGGACAGTCTGCGACGACAGCTGGGACATTAACGACGCGCACGTCGTGTGCCGGAGCCTGGGATATCCCGACGCTCACCAGCACACAACGCAGGCCTCGTTCGGCCCAGGCTCGGGGTCCATCTGGCTAGACGATGTAGGGTGCCGCGGGACCGAGGGGAGCCTGGCCGACTGTCCCCATAACGGGTGGGGCAACCACAACTGTGGCCACTCGGAGGACGCTGGTGTGGTCTGCTCATGTAAGCCGACTTTAATAATATCATTAGCAGCTGATCTCACTCACAGGTTTCTGACAACAACCAACTAATAGACACACGGTAATACATACCGCAATACATACACCGATAGCTTCATATACACCTAGAAATATGTGGTAACTAATCCACTAGTTTGTTAGAAAACAAACATAAAGTGGCCAATGTAATAATAATAATAATAATGTACAGGCGTTAACAAATCTAAATGCCTTTGTTTGAACCAAGTATTTTATGTTAGCAGGTGATAAACGCTAGAAGAAAGTGGGCCTAAGTATAATGTATAGTTTGTTGTACAAAAACCGGGCTTCCAGCAGTGTTAATCTCATTAGATATACTTTCCGTTTATCTGTTTTATTCTATGATCTTATTCATCGTCGGTGAGGCTGTTCTTTCTTTCTTAAAGTAGCGTAACGCTTAACATATGGAGGAGCTGAAATGTTTTAGAGTTAAAACTTTTGATTCAACACAAAGAAGTTCTCTCACCTAGCTAGAGCTTTTGACCAGTCACTCTGGTCTTCCTCAGTAGACGAAGCCGCGTGACAGGCCTCACTGGGTCAGTCTACTGATGAAGACTTTTGAAACCTACCAAATTTTAATCATAAAGCTAACAAATAATAACTAGTCATAAACATACTAAAAAAACCCTAGAAATAACTAAACAAAATCTAGTATGTAGTATAGAGTTTAGACTTGTTCCAACACAACGAAAGAACTCATCGCTGTGTAGGAACAAGCTTAAACTATGATAACTATGGATTCTACCAACACAGATGAGCTTTCATTTGATAATCGCATGTGTGTGTTCCGCTAGCCCCATGCCCCAACCCGCCGGTGCTGACCGCCTCCAGTATCTCGGGCTGCGGCGCCCCCTACACGGAGAACGAGTCCTGCAGTTACAGCTGCAACGCAGGCTACTTTTATGACGGCGGCTCGAAAACCCGGACCTGCAGCGGCGGCGGCTCCTGGTCAGGCACGGACATCGTCTGCACACGCCAAAGTTTGTTCATTTGTTTATTTGAAAGATCTTAAAGTTATAAATGTGCATGTACAATGTACTTCTAAAAAATTGTCTTCAACTTATTTGCATATCAATCAATAGTTTGTACTTATAAACCTGCATTTCTCCTCTCAGTCACTGACAAAAGCTAGTGGATGCTAGCTGAAACGTCTGACCGTTTCCCAAATCATAGCCAGTTGCTTGAGTAACTGCTCTTTGGGGTAATGTATTTTACACTAGTCTTCCTGGAGTCACGTATAAAACATATAACACATAAATAACGCAATAACATAAATCAGATCAAATATTGACTACAACTGAACTGGCAAAAACTGAAATAGAAAAAATGAAGATGAGCGGCCAGAGGTTTAAAAACATGCGTCACAAGTAGGAAATTTTCGCCAAAATTTGCCAAAAATCAGCCAACAGACAACTTTCTTCTGGTCAGCGATAATAGTGCATAATGTGTGCGCCTGTAGTGTGGCTATGGTGCCTGTAGTGTGGCTATGGTGCCTGTAGTGTGGCTATGGTGCCTGTAATGTGGCTATGGTGCCTGTAGTGTGGCGTGGCTATGGTGCCTGTAGTGTGGCTATGGTGCCTGTAGTGTGGCTATGGTGCCTGTAGTGTGGCTATGGTGCCTGTAGTGTGGCTATGGTGCCTGTAATGTGCCTATGGTGCCTGTAGTGTGGCTATGGTGCCTGTAGTGTGGCTTTGGTGCCTGTAATGTGCCTATGGTGCCTGTAATGTGCCTATGTTAACATGTCTGTAATGTGCCTAATGGTGCCCGTAGTGTGCCCACGGTGCCCTGTAATGTGCCCACGGTGCCTGTAATATGGCTATGGTGCCTGTAATGTGCCTGTAATGTGACCACGGTGCCTGCAATGTGCCTATGGTGTCTATGGTGCCTGTAATGTGCCTGTGGTGCCTGTAGTGTGTCTATGGTGCCTGTAATGTGCCTGTGGTGCCTGTAGTGTGCCTCTGGCGTCTGTAGTGTGCCCACGGTACCTGTAATGTGCCTGTGGTGTCTGTAATGTGCCCACGGTGCCTTTAAATGTGCCTATGGTGCCTGTTCTGTCTCAGCGTGCTACTGGGAAGGAACAGCTCCATTCTGCAACCCTGGAGGCTGTGATAGTGGGATCCAGGTGGCGAGTGGCAGCTGTGGCGATGGAGCGTGCTGCTGGACTGGCCACAAGATCAAATGCTGTAACGGTGAGTCAGATATACACAATATCAACAAGTTTGGGTCTTATCAACCATTTCTAATAAGGACCAAGTTAACAGTTTCTCTTGACAACAGAAATTTTGTCTTCTACATCCTATTCAATCAACGCCGGTGTTCCTCAAGGCTCAGTTCTTGCCCCAACACTATTTTTAATATTTATTAACGACCTGCCCGACCACATCCTATGCCAACTTGCTGTCTATGCGGACGATTCCACCCTTTACTCCAACTCTAAAGGTCCCGGTTCCATACTGGATAAGACAGAAATGGCAGCTGGGTTGGAAAACGATCTGCGATCTGTCGTTGAATGGGGAGACAATTGGTTAGTCACTTTCAACGCCCAAAAAACAAAACTCCTCTCCATAAACAGATACCGGGAACCTTTTCTTCCACCTATATCCATGAATGGCAACGAGTTGCGGGAGAATGATAGTCTCCGTCTCCTCGGTCTTATTCTCTCCAAGGATTTGTCCTGGAGATACTACATCGAATCCATAGCCAAATCAGCAGCTATGAAAGTAGGCTCACTGCTTCGAGCCAGAAACTACCTCACTCCTGCAAGTATTCTGTATCTGTACAAATCCACCATCCGTCCTTGCATGGAGTATTGCTCGCATCTCTGGGCTGGTGCCCCAAAAGACTGCCTACATATTTTAGACCGCATTCAAAGGAGAATCTGTGTTGCCATCGGCCATTCTCTGGCCGCAAAGCTGGATTCCCTCTCACACAGACGCAATGTCGCATCTCTATCCCTCTTCTACAGATACTTTCACGGTCGATGTTCAGGAGAACTTGCACTTCTCGTTCCTCCACTCAGAACCTTTCAGCGTGCCACTAGGTTCTCTTCCAGTTCTCATCAATACACCGTTAACATACCTGTCTCCAAGTCATATTACAACAACAGCTTCTTTCCCCGGACTGCAAAATTATGGAACTCTCTTCCAAACAGCTGCTTTCCGTCCGATTACAATCTACAAAGCTTCAAAACAAAGGTCCACCGCCATCTCATGACATAGCTATAATATACTCCTCTAAGTTCCTCTAGCTCTATGCCTAGAAGTGGCCAAATATAATTGGCCTTGCATTGAGCGATACCGTTAAAAAAAAAATGTACAGCACTCATGTGTTGCTGCATGTTGACTCGGGTCCTTTCTGTTTGCAGGTGTGTAAGAACCTTTCCGTGCGGCCAGACCCGAGCTGAGGAGGCTTCACCAGTTTCCACTTTTCATCTCATTTCGGCAGGATTCCCTTGACTTAGATAAGGGGGAAACATGCTTCCCACATCTTTATTAGCCACTACTTACTTTATCAGTCAGACCAACATAAACCAGGGGGTTTCTCACATCTGAAACATGCTTCCCACATCAGATGCAGGAGCCAGATTACCTGTCCTGAAATGAGTAGAATGTGAGAACTGAAACCGTCCCAGTGAGTTAAAGCGGCTCCCAATGTTTCCCTACCTCAGCCACAGTGAGCTAAAGGCAGAGCTTCACGCTTTATAGTCAGGTTTACAGCTTATAGGCAGCAGTTCCCAGATACTTGTGGGCAAAAACAATGGGAGCGCCTTTACCTCGCTGGTCACCATGGCAACGGTCACCATGGCAACGGTCACCACGGCAACGGTCACCACGGCAACGGTCACCACGGCAACTGCAGCACAATGCTGGGGGCAGGGTAGGGAGAAGTACCCAGTCTAACTGGCCTCGGATTTACCAAAACATGAAAAAGAAATAATTGAAATTCTTTCCTCCTGGAGCCCAGCATTGTGTTTAGTGATTCTGTAGTTTTATCGGTTTAAATCAGCACGTCGGCGGCACGGTTACTCCATGATGACATTCGTCTGACACCCCGTCACCGTGTGGCCCGGATGTAGCTCAGGCCTTCCTGCGTTTTAACCAGCCTCATGACGTTATACCGTGTTTTATGACGTCATGCCATTCAATGACGTCACACCATCTAGTCTTCTGTGATTTCATTACGGCATTCAAAGCTTCAGAGTATAAAAGTCACAGTAAAGAGTATAACAGTCACAATAAAGAGTATAAAAGTCACAGTAAAGAGTATAACAGTCACAGTAAAGAGTATAACAGTCACAGTAAAGAGTATAACAGTCACAGTAAAGAGTATAACAGTCACAGTAAAGAGTATAAAAGTCACAGTAAAGAGTATAACAGTCACAATAAAGAGTATAACAGTCATATTAAAGAGTATAACAGTCACAGTAAAGAGTATAACAGTCACAGTAAAGAGTATAACAGTCTTAAAGAGTATAACAGTCACAGTAAAGAGCATAACAGTCACAGTAAAGAGTATAACAGTCACAGTAAAGAGTATAACAGTCACAGGAAAGAGTATAACAGTCACAGTAAAGAGTATAACAGTCACAGGAAAGAGTATAACAGTCACAGTAAAGAGTATAACAGTCACAGTAAAGAGTATAACAGTCACAGTAAAGAGTATAACAGTCACAGTAAAGAGTATAACAGTCACAGTAATCAGTATAACAGTCACAGTAAAGAGTATAACAGTCACAGTAAACAGTATAACAGTCACAGTAAACAGTATAACAGTCACAGTAAAGAGTATAACAGTCACAGTAAACAGTATAACAGTCACAGTAAACAGTATAACAGTTACAGTAAAGAGTATAACAGTCACAGTAAAGAGTATAACAGTCACAATAAAGAGTATAACAGTCACAGTAGAGTATAACAGTCACAGTAAAGAGTATAACAGTCACAGTAAAGAGTATAACAGTCACAGTAAAGAGTATAACAGTCACAGTAAAGAGTATAACAGTCACAGTAAACAGTATAACAGTCACAGTAAACAGTATAACAGTCACAGTAAACAGTATAACAGTCACAGTAAACAGTATAACAGTCACAGTAAAGAGCATAACAGTCACAGTAAAGAGTATAACAGTCACAGTAAAGAGTATAACAGTCACAGGAAAGAGTATAACAGTCACAGTAAAGAGTTTAGAGACAAAGAAACTGGATGGTTAAGCTGCAGGTAGAATTAGCCTGATAAGGACTAATGTAATAAGTAATATAAGTAAGGATAAATATGATAAGGATTAATATAACAAGGATAGATATGATTAATATTAATATAATAAGGGTTAATATAATAAGGATTAATATGATAAGGATTGATATGATAAGGATCGATAAAATTAGGATTAATATAGTAAGGATAAATACAGTAAAGAATAATATAATGTGGAATAATATATTAAAGGATAAATATGATAAGAATTAATATAGTAAGATTATTCTAGTAAGGATTGTTGTGATTATACTAATGTATACGGATTTCAGTAACCTGGAGAAAGCTGTTCTGCACATCTTTACCAGAAATTATCAGCATCTCTATGTAGCAATAATACGAAGCATCGCTACATAGCAACGCTTTATGGCATCGCTACATGGCATCGCTACATAGCATCATTACATAGCATCGCTACATCGCATTGTCACATAGCATACAGACTGTGTCCATTTCAAATGGTATTAGTAAGTTTCATATAAGCTGCAAAAAGGAACATTTGTGGTAAAACACCGTCAATGATAAACCTATCCTAAACCTTTTCCATCACAACATTAGCAATGCTGAGGGGTCTAAAGCTTAAAACCTTCGCTTGCTTCAAACATTGTAGACTGTAGCTGGCACTATATTCATAATCATTATTCCTGTTTTGTTTCATTTGTAGTTGAAATAAAGATGCAGTTGTCGTCCAAACAGTTCGCTGGTTCTGTTCCGTCTGTGTGTGATGTTTGATGAAAATCCATTAGATTAGATTAAACATCTAACCTATTCTTCCTGGATTCATGAAATACAAATTCACAAATACGTAATTACCAATTAAGATGATAAGAAAACACGTTCATGAAACTTAACGAAACGTGTGCCTGGGAAGGAAAAGGTTTTTGTCCTCTCATGAAAGTTCATCTGTGTTGGTGTTACTATGTTTAGAGTTAAAACTTAAGATCCAACACAAAAGTTCTCTCACCTAGAGCTTTCGACCAGTCACTCTGGTTGACGTCACACTTCAAAGAAGCCACGTGACAAGACTTGTTGCTGAAGCTCACAACTACATGTATATTCCATGAAACATTGTGACAAAAAGTTGCCGCTACTTACACTCACAGGACCTAACTTAACCCCCTAACATCAGCACACACTAAAGGCAAACGGCAGTTGTCAGTTCCACACAGTTTATTTTGTGGTAGGAAGAAAAACCACCTGGGATACATGTTGTCTAACATTGTTTAATCTGGCGTTTTGCAGTGCTGGGGGGTAAAAGTTCATCCTCAGAAATAACAAAATCATTCAACAGCACATTTCCTGAAACAACAGACATAAATTAACTAAATGAGCTGCAAAAATATGATACTAAAACCTTTGACGTTATAGAGTTTACTGCACTGTGAACCTACAACTAATTTCTCATTATGTGTTCAAACAAACTCTCCATGATTAAATTTCTTGAGTTCAAGGTTCTCATTAAAAGCTTGGAGAAACCATCACTATGATCCTAAACACGAGTTTCGTCTGGAAAATCAACATGAGAACAGAGTCGGGGGAAGTCTGTACCTTGGTGCACACACGTTTGCCCAAGGACAAAGACACCATGTTCCTGACTGATTACCTCCTACAAAATTGCATTTGATAAAAATAAATTTGCTCTAGTTTCAAGGGAGGCAGAAGGCTGCTGTTGCGATACGCAACAAATAAATAGAATTCATAAATATGCCAATACTGATATTGATAAAGCCACACCAATTCAATTCTTTGGTTCTTGGATTCGCCTCTTCCTACTTTTCTGATTTCAAAAAAAAAAAAGATTCTGGTTCTGAATCAACTAAAATATGCTCATATTTTGCCCGCAACAGTTGAGGAAAGTCCTTTTCTTTTTAGTTCTCACAGTTTTTCAATCTATCAATGCAGTGGTTTGATTAAAAGTTTAAAATTAATCGTTTAAATATTAACCCAGCCTTTTGTGTTGACTTCATGGCTCCTACCAAAGCATTTGGGGCAATAATAGGATGCCTAGACCTGTTTTTATTTTCATTTTTTTGCCGTGTCGCTTCATATTTTTCCTGACAAAAATCTAAGAACCAACAAATTAAATTGGTATGGCCTTAAGGCCACTACAGTGGCTGCTGGTGCCCTTATATGTAAGTACATAAAACTTTTGTCAGTTAAAATCTGGTTAAAAACATGCTACACTTGCTACAATGCAGCCTGATGTTGACATTGCAGATTCTACATGTCCTTTAATCTTTCATTAAATATGTGGATTCTGTCCTTACATAATCTTACATTGCAGATTCTGTCCTTTCATAAAATATCTAACATTGCAGATTCTGTCCTTACATAATCTTACATTGCAGATTCTGTCCTTACATAATCTTTCATTGCAGATTCTGTCCAAGCATTGGTCAGGAAAGTTTGGAGTTTTGTGTTTTTTCTGTTGAGTTTTCTGCTGTTTTTTGTGAGTTCGAGTTTCTTTGCAAGTTGTATGTGTGCTCCTTCCGTGAGTTTTGTTGAGAGTTTGGCGGGTTTTGCTCCAAGCGTGAGTTTGGTTGCGAGTTTGGCGGGTTTTGCTCCATGCGGAAAAGCTGTTTGCATATTTCGTACACGCAGAAGGACATGGCGACCTGCGGGATGACCCTGAGATAGTTCACGCTGATGCCGCGGTACAAACCGTGCTTCACGCCGTCCGTCCGGTACACGGTCAGTAACGTCTGCACACAGCCACTGGGGGAACAAACAAACAAATAAACAAACAAATAAATAAATACACAGCAAGGTCTGCACACAGCCATTGCGGAAACAAACAAACAAACAAATAAATAAACAAATACACAGTCAGTAACGTCTGCACACAGCCACTGCAGAAATAAACAAAATGTCAGTAACTTTTCAAACCACCTAAGCCTACCATAGATTGCAAAATCTGTGCTATAAACTGAAGAAAACATTGTCATATCGGGCATCGTCAAATGTCAGCCTGCATGTTATGTGGCCACAGTTTCACCCAGACAACATTGCAAGGTTACCAACATGAAATTTTGTATATGCCATTTGTTTAGGTCCAGACTTACAAGATCTTCCAATCATTATTACATTTCAAAATATTCAGATATACCTTAAATTGAAATTACTGCTTACAACATGTTAAGATCAAATTACTAAAATCATTTTTCATATATTTATAATCTTAAAAATAGGATTGAACTACAGTAATTTGCAGCTGTGACATTTAAACACTGCAGATATAAAGGTCCCCAGCAGGGGGCGTACCTGAACTTGTCGGCGTTGGCAGTGATCACGGCCAGCTGCATCCTTCTCCTAGTCACATCCAGCGGGTACCTGGGGGGGGGGGGCAAACACAACAGGTAAACAAACAAACAAACAAACAGCCATAACCCTAACCCTTCTCCTGGTCACATCCAGCGGGTACCTGGTGGGGGGGGGGCAAACACACCAGGTCACATCCAGCGGGTACCTGGGAGTAAACACAACAGGTAAACAAACAAACAAACAAACAAACACACCAGGTCACATCCAGCGGGTACCTGGGGGTAAACACAACAGGTAAACAAACAAACAAACAAACAAACAAACAACGGCTGTACTATCAGGAAAGTTCATCTGTGTTGGTAGTTAACCAACACAAAGAAGTTCTCTCACTTACATGTAGAGCTTTCAACCAGTTTCTCTAGTCTTCCTCAGTAGAATGCCCGGTGAGACAGGGCCCAACATCGGCTACCAGACACCTTTGACCCAGTGTTGACGTCACACTTCAAAGAAGCCACGTGACAAGCTTCACTGGGTCAGTCTACTGAGGAAGACCAGAGTGACTGGTCGAAAGCTCTCGGTGAGAGAACTTTTTGTGTTGGATCTAAAGTTTTAACTCTAAACAATGGCTGTACTTGTGCATGTGTGCAGCGCCTGTACTTATGATGCAGTCTGTGCGATGGCCCCTGCAGCCCCCCCAGCACGAGATTGACAGGTGTACTTACGATGCAGTCTGTGCGATGGCGCCTGCGACCCCCCCGAGCACGAGATTGACGGGTGCGCGCAGGGCCCGGTCCCCCTCGCCGCCGTGCTGCAGAAATATCGCAGGTCCGCTCTCCAGCAGCAGCTGCTTCAGCGTGTCAAAGGTGAAGAATGACAGACCTGTAGGGGTCAGGGGTCAGCACATGTCAAAGGTGAAAAACAACAGACATGTAGGGGTCAAGGGTCAGGACATGTCAAAGGTGAAAAATGACATCTGTGGGGGCAGCAGGGTCAGGTCTAACCTGTTAGAGCAGCAAACCGACATTTTATACATACTTATTCTTTACTCAACAAAAAAAGTGACTTATATGAAAAACAGGTTGTACCACATACCTGAGTAGGGCACCATGCCAATGAGAGTTGGTACGAAGCCCCTGTAGAAGGCCATAATTCCGCCCTCCTGCGCCCAGATGGTGCGGAACGTGTGCCAGATGCCCTCGTACAGGTGTTCCCCTTTGACCTGGAACATCAGCCTGACGCGGACCATGTCCAGCGGGTAGGTCAGGATCACGGCAGCCATGCCGCCGAGGGAGCCGGCTAGCAGCTTGGCCAGGTGGGGGTGGTCCAACCGGGGGGTCAGGGCCTGCAGGGGGGTACAGGTTACAGGGGGGTACAGGTTACAGGGGGGTACAGGTTACAGGGGGGGCACAGGTTACAGGGGGGTACAGGTTACAAGCATGCATGGTTCATGACAAGGGTTATAATTAGAGCATGCGGAACCATACATGGTTTATAATCTCAGAAGTAAAAGCAGTACAAGATTTGGGATTGATGTTCGTCACCTTTTTGAACTGTTCGAAGGCCATGAACTGCACGGCTCCGTAGGGGAAGATTCGAACCATCTGACACCAGTTGCCCTTGTACCATCCCTGCACGCCCTCGCGTCTCCAGATGGCCTCAAGCGTCGAGAAAATACCTGCAGGATACAACACAACATTAAATAACATACTACTAGTACAGCAGAATTAATACAACACAACATTACAGAACACTTAACTGTTGTACCCAGGATGAGGTATCAATATTCAGTACAACTACAGTTCTTTCTAAATTTCTTTGTGACAAACCGATGGAAAGTTAAAATGCCAAATTAGCCAGTGAGGAAACCTTAATTACCTAAATGCTTGTAGTGGCTGTTATGTAGAACAGCAGGCCTTAAAAATTACCTAAATGCTTGTAGTGGCTGTTGTGGGCCTGCAGAAGGATCTTAGTTCTGTCCAGCGGAGCCACGGCAGTTTTTGCACAGCAACTGGCGATGCCTGAAAAACAACACAATTCACTCTTGATGAAATAAAGACTAAGCTTTAACTGCTGCACCGGTGACTGCCAACACTTAAGTGAGACTACAGAATTGGCACTTACCACAAATTTTCAGTTGACTCCATCAGCCTTGTTCACGGAATGGACCCGTATCCTAAGACAGCCCGGGTGCCATCCTCTGTAGTAGTATTAGGGAGCGAGCGAAAACTAGAGAGGATTGCACCCTGGCTAGGCCTTTGGGGCTTACTGTCACTGTGATCATGCATGCACAAGAGCATTAAGTTATTACTTTACAAATAACAATGATAATATTGATAATTTCTAGAATCCTGGCTTCTTATTAAATACAAAAAGTCAGGACTGCTACTAGGCAAGGCCCCTAATTTCCAAGCAGATGTTACGGTGGTCACCATAACCATAACATATACTTGGAAACCC